CTTCTTCACTCTCTGCCATAGGGTGGTGTCATCTGTGTATCTGAGGTTATTGATATCTCTCCCGGCAATCTTGATTCCAGCTTGTGCATCATCCAGCCTGCAATTTTGCGTGATGTACTCTGAATACAAGTTAAATAAGCAGGGTGACGATATACAGCCTTAACGGACTCCTTTCCCAATTTGCAACCAGTTTGTTGTTGCATGTCCAATTCTAACTGTTGCCTCTTGACCTGCATACAGATTTCTCGGGAGGCAGGTAAAGTGATCTGATACTTCCATCTCTTTAAGAATTTTCCACAGTTTGCTGTGATCCACACCGTCAAAGGCTTTGGCATGGTCAACAAAACAGAAGTAGATGTTTTTCTGGAACTCTCTTGCTTTTTTGATGATCCAATGGATGTTGGCAATTTGATCTCTGGCTTCCCTGCCTTTTCTAAATCCAGCTTGAATACCTGGAATATCACAGTTCAAGTATGGTTCAAGCCTGGCTTGGAGAATTTTGAGCATTACTTTGCCAGCGTGTGAGATGACTACAATTGTGTGATATTTTGAGCATTCTTTGGCATTGCCTTTCTTTGGGATTGGAATGAAAACTGACCTGTTCTAGGCCTGTGGCCATTGTTGAATTTTCCAAATTTGCTGACATATTGAGTGCAGCACTTTCACAGCATCATCTTTTCAGATTTGAAATAGCTCAACTGGAATTCCACTGCCTCCATTAGCTTTGTTCATAGTGATGCTTCCTAAGGCCCACTTCACTTTACATTCCAGGATATATGGCTCTAGATGACTGATCATACCATCATGGTTATTTGGGTCATGAAGGTCTTTTGTGTATTCTGGGTATTCCTGCCACCTCTTCTTAACATCTTCGATGTCTGTTAGGTCCATACCATTTCTGTCTTTCATTGTGCCCATCTTTGCATGAAATCTTCCTTTGTATCTCTAACTTTCTTGAAGAGATCTCTAGTCTTTCCATTGGATTGTTTTCCTCTATTTCTTTGCATTCATCGCCGAGGAAGGCTTTCTTATCTCTTCTTGCTATTCTTTGGAACTCTGCATTCAAATGGGAATATCTTTCCTTTTCTCCTTTGCCTTTCGCTTCTCTTCTTTTCACAGTGATTTTAAGGCCTCCTCAGACAACTGCTTTGCCTTTTTGCATTTCTTTTTCTTGGGGATGGTCTTGATCACTGCCTCCTGTACAATGTCACAAACCTCCGTCCTTAGTTCATTAGGTACTCTGTCTATCAGATCTAATCCCTTGAATCTATTTGCCACTTTCACTATATAACCGTAAGGGATTTGATTTAGGTCATACCTGAATGGTCGAGTGGTTTTCCCTTCTTTCTTCAAGTTAAGTCTGATTTTGGCAATAGGGAGTTCATGATCTGAGCCACAGTCAGCTCCTGGTCTTGTTTTTGCTGACTGTATAGAGCTTCTCCATCTTTGACTGCAAAGAATATCATCAATCTGATTTCGGTGTTGACCATCTGGTGATGTCCATGTGTAGAGTCTTCTCTTGTGTTGCTGGAAGAGGGTGTTTGCTGTGACCAGTGTGTTCTCTTGGAAAAACTCTGCTAGCAGTTGCCCTGCTTCATCTTGCACTCTAAAACCAAATCTGCCTGCTACTCCAGGTAACTCTTGACTTCCTACTTTTGCATTCCAGTCCCCTATAATGAAAAGGACATCTTCTTTGGGTGTTAGTTTTAGAAGGTCTTGTCGGTCTTCATAAACCATTCAACTTCAGCTTCTTCAACATTAAATATTAGGGCATAGACTTGGATTACTGTGATGTTGAATGGTTTCCCCTGGAAAAAAACAGAGATCATTCTGTCATTTTTGAGATTGTACCCAAGTACTGTATTTTGGACTCTTTTGTTGACTATGAGGGCTACTCCATTTCTTCTAAAGGATTCTTGCCCACAGTAGTAGATATAATGGTCATCTGAGCTAAATTCGCGCATTCCAGTCCATTTTAGTTCACTGATTCCTAAACGTTGATGTTCACTCTTGCCATTTCCTTTTGACCACTTCTCAATTTACCTTGATTCATGAACCTAACATTCCAGGTTCCTATGAAATATGGTCCTTTACAGCATCGGACTTTACTTCCATCACCAGTCACATCCACAACTGAGCAGTTTTTGCTTTGGCTCCATCTCTTCATTCTTTCTGGAGTTATTTCTCCACTCTTCTCCAGTAGCATATTGGGCACCTACCAACCTGGGGAGTTCATCGTTCAGTGAGAGACCTTTTCGTCTTTCACGGGGTGCTCAAGGCAAGAACACTGAAGTGGTTCGCCATTCTCTTCTCCAATGGACCACATTTTGTCAAAAATAAAATATCAAAATATTATGAAATGGAAGCAAAGGAGCAGAAACTATGAACACTGAAGGTGGAACTGAGAAACCTAAACCAGAAAGAGAAGAATTAAGAACAATATCCTTGGTGATTCATCACCATCATCACAACATCATCATCACAATGACAACTACCGAAAAGACAAAAAGAAGGGCCTGAGAATGAAGACGTGGGAGCTGGATCCAAGGTGAAGGTAGCTGTCATAGAATAACAAGGCAGAGCAACAATAATATAGAACAATTTAGAAAAATCATACATGATTTCAAGTGAAAAAGAAAAAACAACAAGTAAACAAACCTAAGGTATACTTCAGAAAAGATGTAGGAAACAGGGCAGTAAGATTAGGAAAATTATCAAGTTTCGGTTCAACATATATCTAGTAAAATTCTAAATTTATTGGATTGATCCAACAGAACCAAAGTGGATGGTCAATGATTCTGATCTTAATAATTAGAAGACATTATCCTTCAATTAGGAAAATGAGGAAAGTAACATCAGAACAATTAAGCTAAAGTTGATACTTTGGTAGAAAATAAGTAGATTTGTTTCTCTGATCAGGTAGATTAACAACCATTACATTAGATTTCAAGCTTTAACAAAGATGATAAACAAGTTTTATTTCATATGATGAATTCAACTTCACATGCATTGGGAATAATAATAATAGCTAATGCTTCAGTTTAGTTCAGTTCAGTTGCTTAGTCGTGTCTGACTCTTTAAGACCCCATGGACTGCAGCCCGCCAGGCCTCCCTATCCATCACCAACTCCCAGAGTTTACTCAAACTCATGTCCATTGAGTCCGTGATGCCATCCAACCATCTCATCCTCTGTCGTCCCCTTCTCCTCCCACCTTCACTCTTTCCCAGCAACAGGGTCTTTCCCAGTGAGTCAGCTCTTCGCATAAGGAGGCCAAAGTATTGGAGTTTCAGGTTCAGCATCAGTCATTCCAATGAATATTCAGTACTGATTTCCTTTAGGATAGACTGGTTGGATCTCCTTGCAGTCCAAGGGACTCTCAAGAGTCTTCTCCAACACCACAGTTCAAAAGCATCAATTCTTTGGTGCTCAGCTTTCTTTATAGTCCATAGTCCAACTCTCACATCCATACATGACTACACAAAATACCATAGCTTTGACTAGATGGACCTTTGTTGGCAAAGTAATGTCTCTGCTTTTCAATATGCTGTCTAGGTTGGTCATAACTTTTCTTCCAAGGAGCAAGCGTTTTTTAATTTCTTGGCTGCAGTCACCATCTGCAGTAATTTTGGAACCCCAAAAAATAAAGACTGTGACTGTTTCCATTATTTCCCCATCTATTTGTCATGAAGTGACAGGACAAGATGCCATGATCTTAGTTTTCTGAATGTTGAGTTTTAAATCAACTTTTTCACCCTCCTCTTTCACTTTCATCAGAAGACTCTTTAGTTCTTTGCTTTCTGCCATAAGAGTGGTGTCATCTGCATATATGAGGTTATTGATATTTCTCCCGGCAATCTTGATTCCAGTTTGTGCATCATCCAGCCCAGCATTTCTCATGATGTACTCTGTATAGAAGTTAAATAAGCAGGGTGACAATATACAGCCTCGACATACTCCTTTCCCGATTTGAAACCAGTCTGCTGTTCCATGTCCAGTTCTAACTGTTGCTTCCTGACCTGCATACAGATTTCTCAGGAGGCAGGTAAGGTGATCTGATAATCCCATCTCTTTAAGAATTTTCCACAGTTTGTTGTGATCCACACAGTCAAAAGCCTTAGCATAGTCAATAAAGCAGAAGTAGATTTTTTTCGGAACTCTCTTGCTTCTTCAATGATCCAATGGATGTTGGCAATTTGATCTCTGGTTCCTCTGCCTTTCTGAATCTAGCTTGAACATTTGAAGTTCACAGTTCATGTACTGTTGAAGCCTGGCTTGGAGAATTTTGAGCACTACTTTGCTAGCGTGAGATGAGTTCAACTGTGCGGTAGTTTGAGCGTTCTCTGGCACTGCCCTCCTTTGGGACTGGAGTGAAAAGCTAGCGCTTAATGAGTGCCAACTATGGCAGGCACCCTTCTATACATTTGCACACATTCATTCAATTCTAACAACCCTAAGAAGTGGGTATTATTGGACTTCTCTGGCGAACCAGTGATTAAGACTCTACACTTTCACTGCATGGGTCACAGGTTTGATCCCTGATGAGGGAACTAAGATCCCACATCCCACTCAGCCATATATATATAAAATAAAAACTTAAAAAAGTAGTTATTATTATTGCCCTCATTTTACAAATAAGGGAACTGATACATAAAGAAGTTAAGTAACCTGTTGAAGACACATGACTAGCAATTAAAGAAGGCAGGATTTAAATCCCAGAAGAGAACACTAAGGTATGCCCCTAACCACTGTGCTGCTCTGTCCCCTCAAGGAAAAATGCCAAGATCAGGTCTGGATGCATTAACCATCTGAATAAATGTTAGAAAAACATTGGGCTCTACAGTGATGTAGACCCAGGTTTCAAATTTCAGCAGTTTCAAAGTTCACAGTTCACGAACTTTCAGACTGCCAACAAAATCATGTTTTAAACACTTTTACTCTGATATTCAAATCCCTAATTACAACCCAGGGGGTAAGATGCATTCTACAGAGCATACTGTACCTCTTTGACGATTTTCACCCCTTTTGGATCCTTGATATTAACAGCTATACTCTAAAAATTAAAAATAAGCATATTAAAATAATATCATAAAGTTTTCTTTATGATAAAGAAAAATTACTGACAGTTCACTGAGAGAGCCATTCATATCATCGATTCTCCTCTTAAAGTAAATGCATTTTCCTTAGAAAGAAACATTTAAATCATTTTTACTGATTTTATTTGCAATTTGGATATGTCAAAATGATAGCAAGGATTACAGTAAAATGATTTCAAATAATGATCCCAAATGTAGACAATAAGCAATCTCCAAAAGAATAACAAACATAAAAGAATCAAGTGATTTCTCTCCTTAATAAAATTATTTCCATTCAAAATCATTATAAATTCTCACAATATGTTTTAAGTTAGTAGAAAAGGAAAATAAAAAGGTCTACTGTTTCTATTTTGTAACTGGCAAATGAATAGAATAAAGTGTCACTTCTTGAAAATATTACTTATATCTACAAAAAAAGGGTAGAAATAAACAAGCCACAATGATATCAAAAGTTTTGTTACTACAAGAGGATTATAGAAAAAAAGCAAAAAGAGGGTAATATTCTTACTTTTTTATTTCGGTTAACACTGAGAAAATAAGTACTTTCTGTCCCCACAAAAGGTGGACCCCAAGTTCGTGTATCATCACCAGCTCCTGAAAATAACAGTATGAGCTATTTAACCTTGGAACATCAAGAGATATTTCAAGCCAACAAATTTACTCATTCATAAGTTCACAGATGACTAGGAAGATCAGCTTAGTTCAGTGGAATTAGCAACCTAAAGGAGCCATGGGAGCTTGTTAGAACTACCCAAATTCTTTGCCTGTTCATGTAAATCACTAAATCCTCCCATATCTTCTTTCACTAAAATCCAACCTGAAAGTAAAAATCCAGAACAGAATATCCAAATGCCAGTTTGAAGGGAAAAACTTACTCTCCTAATTCAACAAACAAGTCGGCTCGTTCAGTGTTTTTGGCACTAAATGTGCAAAGTGTTAGGTCTGGAAAGAATTTTTGTTATATATAATGTAAATCAGAAAAATGACAAGTAAGTCTTTATAAACTGGTATTTGAGGCTAGGTATAAAATAATGATAAATAAATAAATCCATTTTTTTAATCCTGCAGTAATAAACCAGAAAAAGCAAAATAAGCAACTGCAGAGCAAATGTAAATAATTTAAAATACTAGCTTAGAATAAAATTTTAGTCATCAAGGTCTTGCTTCAAAGTAAAATGTTTAAAACCATCAAAAATAGGGTATTTTCTTTGAGACATCTACTTCAAATGACCTGAAAAGTACTTGTGTTTGATTCAAAGACAACACTACAGAGTTACAGAAAAAATTTTTCTTTGCACAAAAAGCAAACAATGTAGATGGAACACAGAAGGTGAATTAACAATTAATAGGCACAAATTAGTATAACAAATTGAAAATTTTATAAGTTCAATTAAATATAGATACTAGAAACTAAACACTACCTAAGTATTACTAGCCCCTCCAATAAGAGATAATTTGTAAGTATGGGTTAAACTTTAAATTCTAATCTCATTTAAATGACATAGTTAATTTATTAGGCCATTAAACTTTACCCACTGAAACTGATAAAGAAAAACAGACACAGCCTTTTAGAAAACAAAACAGAAGCTAAACAATAGACTCCTTGATTTAAAAAGAAAAACAAAAAGAAAAAAAACCTCACAAGAGAAGGGAAGAGAACAAGAGGACAAAAGAAGCATTAGTTCTAATGGGGATGAACTGGAAACAACACAAAGCAATAAATGCTAAGTATCAAACTGAACACATGTTCAAAACATCAGGGAAAAAGAAAAGTGCAAGAGTCCACAAAAACAACCTCCCAGTAATAGACCAGTTAGAGTCTTCAAGGAAAATGTATGTGTGAATATGAATCTCCAAAACCAGCCAAGACCTCCCAGAGTCAGGAGACAGTCCACCCACTTCTATTTTTCTGAAGGTCTCAATACATTTAAAAAAAAAAAATTTTTTTTTTAAGAAAGCAACATCAAGATAAGGTTAAAATTAGCTTATTTTAAATGATCACATTCATCCCTGATCACATTCATCTCTCAGGTGGAGATAATGTCAGAAATCTAAATTGGAGGCCCACATGGCTTTCCTGGGGCTTTCCCAGTGGCTTATCGGTAAAAAAAAATCTGCCTGCAAGGGAGGAGATGCAGGTTTGATCCCTACGTCAGGAAGATCCCCTGTAGGAGGGCACAGCTAGCCACTCCAGTATTTTTGTCTGGACAATCCCATGGACAGAGGAGTCTGGCAGTCTATAGTCCACGGGGTTGCACACAGTCAAGCACAACTGAAGCAATCAAGCGTGCACGCCCACATGGCTTCCCTACCAGGCCTGTGCCTCGTGTATGTTGTTGTTGTTGTTGTTGTTTAGTTGCTAAGTCTTATCCAACTCTTTTGCAACCCCATGGACCGCAGCCCACCAGGCTCCTCTATCCGTGGGATTTCCCAGGCAAGAATATTGAAGTGGGTTACCATTTCCTTCTCCAGGGGATCTTCCCAACCCAGGGATCAAACCCACATTTCCTGCATTACAGGTAGACTCTTTACCATTGAGACACCAGGGAAGCCCATCCCCAGTATATAATCCCCAGTATACAAACCAGGGCTTAAGAGAAGCAGAAAGGGAGTGCTGATGGCACATCAAAGGTTAACGGTCACAAGCTTGTAAAACTAGCAATTTGAGAAACGTGTTTTATTTGACCCACACACTATTTAAAGTTTTTAACCATCTGCCATGATTTCAAAATCCAGAAGCAGTAAATAAAAATTCAGACTTCTTTTTTTAAATGATATTTCAAAATAATCATTCATTCATTCATCAAAGATTTACTGGGTGCCTACTAGGTCATAAGCACCACTCTCTGCAGAGCAGACACAGCAGTAAATAAAGACCAGCATCCCTGTCCTCATATCCCTGCCTCCTGGGGACAACTTTGAAGTAACAGCAGCATCATTTGATGCCCAGACCACTTCATTCATTTAGGTTACCTCCCTGGCCCTGTCAGCATACAGTTTACACTCACCAACCAACTCAAAAAAAAGGGGGAAAAAATATACTTAAGCTTGATATGTTCTTTGATTACTCAAATAAGAATAATCTAAGTCCCAAGTCAGAAAACTACAACCAAATTTAATTCAAGAACTGAGAAAGTGGAAGTGGGAAAGTGCTAGTTGCTCAGTGGTGTCCGACTCTTTGTGACCCCACGGACTGTAGCCTGCCTGGCGCCTCTGTCCACAGAATTCTCCAGCAAGAACACTGGCATGTGTAGCTATTCCCTCATCCAGGGGATCTTCCCCATCCAGGGATCGAACCCAGATCTCCTGCACTGCAGGCAGATTCTTTACTATCTGAGCCACCAACTAAATTTAATTTAAGAACTGGAGAAGTGGGCACTAAAAAAGACTAGCTCTCCACTAAAATTTGAAAATTCTGCCAAATCACTTTTCCTCATATCTGTTGAATAATTATCTCAGAAAAAATAAAATATATGAACATTAAAATGTACTGAGCAGAAGGGTTAAAGGAAAAAGAGAAATTAGTTAGGAAAAGAGCAATAAACCCTGCTAGGAAAAAAGTTTGATGCCTAGTGTATAGCTATGGGACTTAATAAAGTTCTATATAACGAAAGGGTCCCCTAGGGTGGAAAGGGAAAAAATAACAATGGAGAAACAGGTCTAAGCAAATAGGGAAGAGTGATTTCTAAAACTAATAAAAATACAGTCATTCCTTCATTATCCTCAAGGGTTCCAGCACCAACCAGGACTCCAAAATTGGCAGATGCTCAAGTCCTACAACTGGCCCTCTATACCCACAGGTACAGCACCCCCAATTCTACCAACCACAGATCATTAAAGTTCACAAGTCCACAGACTCAACCAACCAGACACAAAGGGCCAACTGTACAAATATTTAACCTAGAGACCAAGGGAAATAGCAAGAGGAATTAGATTGACTATTCTGCCTGTAAACGGAAGACCCCATGGTTGAAATTAGAAAGTGTGTGGCATTGAAACTGGATGGCAAGGTGGTAATTAGAAGTTTTGTGGCAACTGTTAAACAAAGAAAGAAAAAAACATGTTCAGTTAGAAAATGAACATTATTCAGCATGTATCCAGCAATGACCAAAAGCAGTAAATATCATGGACTGGATAAATGAAGCACTATCTGTGGAAAGCAGGATTCACCAGGCTCTTCTATCACCTGGAGCCTGACAAAGACAGGGTCAGAAAAATGTAATATAAAATATATAATATCCCTAGTGCTGGTCAGAGAATCTTTTGCTAACTGCTTGGGCCTCCTAAGAAGATTTAGCAGAAAGTTGAATCTTCCAGATCAGGTATTCAACTTCATAGTGTTTAATCACTTATGGTGAATTAATATGTTGATGTAATCGCAATCTAGTCTCTTATGGGTCTAATAGAAACATGCACACTATTCAAGAAGGCTGGACCATTTTCATTGATTTGGGAATTCTGTTCCAGATCCATAAGCATCAGAATTTTTTTTTTTTGCCATGGTACATGGCATATGGGATGTGGAATCTTAGTTCCTGGACCGGGGATCAAACCAGTGCCTCCTGCAGTAGAAGCACAGAATCCTAACTATCAGACCACCATGGAAGTCCCAGCATCAGATCTTGAAGGATAAATAAGAACACTGATTTTTGAAACCTTCCAAACAAGGTTTGAAACCTTCATAAACAAGCTGTTTATGAGACGATGCAGAGAACGTGGACTCCTGGTTTAAGTGCTTATTAGAGAGAAAAGGAACGTAATATGACACTTCTCTAAGTAGCTTCATCAATAGTAACATGAATTAAACATCCAAGAGTTGAGAAGGCACCAAATAAGAGTGAGAATCATGAACCCAGTATAGATTTATTTGGTGGACAAAGGGAAGAGAAGAAAGGAAAGTTGTCAGATGAAAATCATAAAAGCAATGAATTCATCTCCAGTGTTTTTCCCTCAAAATATTTAAAAGTATGAAATGGGAAAATGTTTCTTTTATTAGAAATAGAAAAGAATGACTTAGGTTGGGGTATTTGGGTTCCTTTTGGAAGGACTTTGATTCCTTTCCTTCCTCCTTCTTCTACAACCTATTTCTCCCCTCTTCCCTTCCCCTGGGCCCTGGCTCCCCTTCATCCCACAGTGAGGGAAAGTGGCCGGGCCCACTCTAACCTCAGTCTCAGCAGCAATTCTTGTGTGGGGCTCAGGAGGACCAGGATCAGAGATGAATGTCCCAATATTCCTTACTAGCTGTGTGACCATGGACAAGACCTTTGATCTCTCTAGGTCTCTGTGTTCTTATTTATAATCTAGGAATAATAACAGGTGACAGGTTGTTGTAAAGACTGAATAAATTAAAACAGGCAAAGTGCTTAGAACTGTGCCCAGCACCAAATGTCATTAACATCGCTGGTATCACACTCATGTCAGTTCCTACCAGTGTGCTGAGTCGCTCAGTCGTGTCCAACTCTTTGTGACCCCGTGGACTGTAACCCACCAGGCTCCTCTGTCCATGGGGATTCTCCAGGCAAGAGCACTGGAGTGGGTTGCCATGCCCTCCTCCTGGGGATCTTTCCAACCCAGGGATCGAACCCAGGTCTCCCACATTACAAGTGGACTCTTAACCATCTGAGCCAGCAGGGAAGCCCCGGTGTTTCTACCAGAGGCATCCAGAAACTGGCTTAGGCCTCAACCCTTGGCATGTAAAGAGTAGAAAGAGATCTAACTTCAGTATAGGTTCAGAGGAAAATAAAGAATGGAGAAGAAAAGTAATCATTTCATTTCAATTCTTTCCTCGTCCCACATCCAGGTACATGGATATTTAAAGAACCATTAAAAATATTTATTAGCTTGTTTCTATGCTTTAAAGAGAACAGTAGTTTTACCTGGTCTTTCCACTTTTATAACTTCTGCTCCAAGATCTCCTAAATTCATAGTAGCAAAAGGTCCCGCCAGTACTCTACAATGTTAACAGTGATAAACAAATTCATTACCATCTTTAAGATTTTTATATTTATTTGTTTCTTAATGGTCCATCAACACAGACAAGCTCATATAATGTTAGTAAGAATTAAAACTATTATAAAAGTGATTTGGCCATATGTATCAAGAGCTTTAAAAAGTATATTCCCTTTGATGCAGTAATTCTAGTTCCATACTTCTACCCTAAAAAAGAAATTGAAAGATTTTCTAAGGCCAAGATTTATGCACAAGGGAGTCTAGTTTATAGTAGAAAAACACTGGGGGATGATTAAGTAATTATGTGACAACTATATAATAAAATATTATCGTATATCTTTGTTGAATTTTGAATGACATGGGAAAAATAGCCAAAATATAACACATGCTTAAAATGTGAATAAACCTATAATTTCAATACGGTTTCATTTTTTTAAAGTATACATAGATACACAGATTAGAAAGAAATGTATAAATATTATATGAATTGTCCTTAGAATAATGAAATTATAGGCAATTTCCTTGATTTGTCTTTCCAAAATTTCAATGATAAGCTTACAAGCACCCTCTTATAATCCAAAAAACAAATGCTTTTTTAGAGAAGGGGAAAAATCACCAAAACATAGATAAACCAATACACACCTCGTTAGATCCAGAATCTTTATACCCTCCAATGGCTTCACATTGTCAGTATCTGGCAAAACAGAGAAAATACTTGAAAATAATTGATTACTAATTTTAGGAAGGAATAATGCATAATTTGGCCACCCTGATGCGAAGAGCTGACTCATTTGAAAAGACCCTGATGCTGGGAAAGATTGAGGGCAGAAGGAGAAGGGGATGACAGAGGATGAGATGGTTGGATGGCATCACCGACTCAATGGACATGAGTTTGGGTAAACTCCGGGAGTTGGTGTTGGACAGGGGGGCCTGGCGTGCTGCAGCTCACAGGGTTGAGTCAGACACAACTGAGCAACTGAACTGAACTGAATGCAGAATTCTTCATATTCTGAAAGTACTCTTTATTACTACCAAATAAATAAATAAATTTTCCTTCAGAAACTTTAGTAAGTTTCCTTACTAAAGGGAACTGTGTATAACACAGAACCCGTGACTAATCCAATTTATCCATCAGTAAACATTTTAAAGCCTCTAACACCAGATTATTCCCCATTTAATAAAGTCCAAAGCTACATGTAAAATAGTTTGTCTAATGAAAAATGAAAAGTTGGAGAAGAGAGGGTTGCAGAGACTGAGCACAGAGGACTTTTAGGACACTGAAAATACTCTGTATGATACCATAATGATAGATACATGTCATTACACATTTTCCAAACTCACAAATAGAACTTTAAATCACCTGACAAGTTTCCACCTGCCCTTTGCAGACTACCCTTCCCTCCATTCCCAACCTCAGGCAACCACTGACCTGCTTTCTGTCACTACAGTTTAATCTGCATTTTCTAAAATCTTATCTAACTAAAATAATACAGCATGTACCCTTTTCTGTCTGGCTTCTTATATTCAACATAATGATACTGAGACTCATCCATGTTGTTGAATTTGTATAGGTAATATCCTGTTCTATGCATATACATTTTTCTTTATCCTTTCTAACCTACTGAGCAGGCTCCAGTTTTAGGTTCCAGTGGATCAAGCTGCTATGAACATTCATGTAGAAGTCTTTGTTGGACATGTTTTCATTTCTCTTGAGTAAATACCTAGTGGAATGGCTGGGTGATACGGTAAGGTTATGCTTAACTTTCTAAGAAACTGCCAAACAGATTTCCAAAGTGACTGTACAATAGTACATGTGAGTTCTATAAGCTCCACATCCTCAAAACACTAAGTATTGTTAATCTTTTTTACATTTATTTACTTGGCTGCACTGGGTCTCAGTTGCAGCACGTGGGCTCTTCAATCTTCCTTGCAGCATGCAGGATCTAGTTCCCTGACCAGGAATCAAACCTGGGTCCCTTGCATTGGGACCTGATTCTTAACCACTGGACTACCACAGAAGTCCCTTGTTAATCTTTTTAATGGTAGCCATTCTAATGGGTATATGATGTTTCTCTGAGGCTTTAATTTGCATTCCTTTGATGATTAATGCTATTCAAAATCTTTCCATGTAACAATAGGCCATTCATATATCTTCTATTGTGAATGGTCTCACTGTCTTTTTTAATACTGAAGCAAAATATTCAAAACAATGCAAAAATCCACCAACATGTGAAACATGAAATAAGCACTGGCACATCCATATAACAAAGCACCATGCCGATGTTAAGAAAAAATGAGATAGATCTACATACCCTGACATATAAAGTCAACCAAGATATATTCCTAAGTTAAAAAATAAATCAGGGACTTCCCTAGTGGTCCACTGGTTAAGAATTCACCTTGCAATGCAGGGGAACCAGGTTCAATTCCTGATCAGGGAACTAAGATCCCACATGATGTGAAGCAACAATGCCACAACTAGAGACTCCCAGTGCCACAACCAAATAAATAAATAACTTTAAAAATCCAAGCTGTAGAACAGAATGTATAATATGAGTCTATGTTTGTAAACATACATAATAATAATTAATAATAATGTTGGTAACTGGAGCATTCATAAAGTTCTACTCTTGGCTAAATCTTGGGGTAAGAATTTATAGAACACTTTCACTAGCTAAGTTATTTATTTCTGTAATTTTCCTTAATTCTTAAATCATGGGGAAATAAAAGAAAAAGTGAAAACATAAAGAACAAATTGAGAGAGAAACAAGATATTTTAGAGAAAGTAAAACATAGAAAAAGAGATTCTTAAATATGAGAAGATATTTTGATATCATTAGGAATGAATTGACAAGCAATTATTGTCCATAAGACTCCAGAAATATGAGTCTTCTGTACTCTTTGGGGGCCCCTGTTTTATGTCAAATGATGCAGGAAATATATTTAGAGATCTCTTCAATTCATAAATCTCATCTCATCATAAATCTATAAAGAGAAGTCTATATTTCACTACCAATGTCAACTCACAACCATAATAAATTAGTAAAATTCTATGTAATGATGCAAAAACTTTTAAATGAATTCATTTACCATCAGCCAATAGCATTTTACTTTTATGATCTGTGAATATAACCAAAAAGGACTTCTAAAGCATATTTAAGTCACACTCAATTAATGAATTTTAAACAGTTAAGAGCATAAACCTTAGAGGATGAATTTAATTCTCTGCTTCACTATTTACTATCCTAGTGACCTTGACCAAGGTAAACATTTCTCTGTTTCAATTTCCTCAGTTGAAACACCTACATCATAGAGTTTGCAAAGATTAAGGGAAAAGTTACATGTAGGCTTCCCAGTGGTGTTAGTGGCAAAGAACCCGCCTGCCAATGCAGGAGACATAAGAGACGTGGGTTTGATATCTGGGTCGGGAAGATCTCCTGGAGGAGGGCATGGCCTGGAGAATCTCATGGACAGAAGGGCCTGGAAGGCTACAGTCCATGGGGCTGCAAAGAGTCAGATACGACTGAACCGACTTAGCACACAGGCACACACAAAGCCCACTTCCTGGCATATAGTAAATGCTCACTAAATACCAACGATTGTTGTTATCATCGCCCATGTAACACACAGTCCCAATACCTATTAAAGTAGATAACCCAGATTTGAAAGCAATCACATGACTCATGATTATTTTAAGGAACAGAAAGTATTATTCTCAATACTCTATACTTTAAAAAGATATCTACAGCTATATTTTGCCTCCTTATGAAAGACCAGAATGGACTGATTACAGGGTGAAAAACAGTTGAAAAGAGCATCCATTATAATGTAATTTGTTGAGCTATAGTGAGCAGCTTGTATATCACTCTATCTTATTTGGCCTCTAGGATGGAAAGCTATTATGTTGATACAGCTGAGTAACCATGCAAAGAAATGTAATTATAATGAAGCTGCCATCAAATTTATGCTTGCCAGAGTTGCTTCCAGGACTCCTCTGGTATTTGGCCCTAGGTTTCCATGACACAAATAAATTTGAACACCAGCGCGGATATAATTGACAGATGCCCACACAAGTGGCTCATTTGTGTGGCAGCAACCATGACATCCCTCTCCCACTGTACTGGCCAACTACTGAGACATTAAACAAAAAAGTCAAGTCCTAAAACAAACTGATTGAATATCACTATCAAATACATCATGTGATATACATTGGAAGGCTTTCTTGATTTGATATTTTTACAGAGAACTTAATTACCAGAACTTAGGAGTGAGCCAATAGATGGATATCTCTTCCAAGCTTTATTTAGAAAAGTTAGCAGGATATTTTCTTTCTAGCACAGGTTGAGTCTTGAAGGAATTCTCTGATCCTAATAGTATAATCTGGCGAAATTTTAGGGGTTTAGAGTACTTGGAAAATCAGAATCCACTGGAAAACATTCCAGGGAAACTAACATTTTTGAGTTGTAAAAAGATAGTAGGAAGTGACACTCAAGTTATGAGGCATTTAGAGACAACTCAGTTGAGCAGTAAAGACTCCACCTGCAATGCAGGAGCCACAGGAGACATGGGTTCAATTCCTGGGTTGGGAAGACCCCCTGGAGGAGGAAATGGCAACCCACTCCAGAATTTTTGCTTGGAAAATCCTATGGATAGAGGAGCCTGGCAGGCAGTCCATGGGGTCACAAGGAGTCAGACACAACTAGGTGACTGAGCACACAGAAAACAATAGCAAGATGGATAATAACATATAATAGTTTATAATTCATGCTTCATTGACACTGTTTCTTCAGAACTGCCCTTCCCTTGCAAGGACTTGGCTATTACTGTGGGATTTGCAATCAAAGAGGTTTTAAAACTGCTGGATGCTACTATTTTAATGAAAACTTGAACAAAAATGCAAAAAGACTAGAAATAAAGGGCTACCAAATGACAGGTAAAGCATTACACAACCAAAGTACCAATGGGTGCTAATCCCTAATTCCTCTGCTCTTCTCACTTCCCAGCTTCTCTTGCAATTAGATTGGGACCAAATGCCTGGAGTCTAGCCAATAACACATAAAGAGAAGCAATATAAGTTAATTCCAGCCCTAATCCTTAAAAACATCCCATTAGGTCCTCCAGGCTTCTATAGTCCTACTGCAGTTGACTGTAGGCTAATTTGTACCACAGCCCCATCTAGCCTTTTCTGACCAATGAAGAAACCAGGCATGGGTGGAAGAAAAATGGTAGTATCCTCTAAGCGAATGTCGAGCATCCACGCCAACAAGTTGGAAGTCCATTTCAGGGGTAGGTTGCGTCACTGCTAGCAGCAGTCATCAAACTGAGATACATTAAGACTTTCGTAAGAAATCAATGAATCATTTTAAAGAAATCAATTTCCAGATCTTAAGCTTCCATACATATTTTTCCCCAAAACTGATCAAATAAGATCTACAAATGAGCCTTCTTTCATGACAAGGCTTCTTACACTGGGTAAAGCATATTCCTCACACATTACAGATCTCACCCTCACCTTAGTTCTTACTATAGAATTTATTTGTGATTAAAAAAAATTTCAAATATGAACTTATAATATGCAATGTGCTGCTTTTCAAAAGTCATTTAGGAGAAAGACCACTAGTATAGACTGGAACATAGAAGCGTGGAAAACAGCACCAACTTAGAGACTTTATAAATAATCAATTTATAGTTGTA